TCCGTGTTAAAATATATCTTTTAAAATTTACAAAACTAAACAGCCTACAGTATTTTATAGTCTTCATTTTACAGTTAAAATAAATGTTTATCAAATAAAGTCTAATGTTACAACTAATCAGGGATCCCTTTAACAAAGTAGGGCAGCTCTACTGCTGTATTAGAGATTTATCTGATAATTAGATTTTTTCTGAAACATCATGAACAAAGTTTTATTTCCTATCACCGTCTGCATATGGTTATTGAATTTATCCATTAAATGACTCATCATATTAGCTCAAATAAAATGTTAATTTACACCGGTCCACAATGTGCTCTAAATCAGAACTTCAATTACCTCCTCCAGGGCTTCACCATAGGGGGAATTGTTATGCGTATGTTTTAAATCACAGTTATGACTGTGTGCATTCATGCTGCTGTGAGACTGCAGCAGGAGAGTAGATGAAGCTCTGAGCCGTTCAGATGACAGACCGAGCGCCTGTTCTGGAGCCGACGTGTCGCGAAGCCAAACGGACCGATCTAAAGCTGTTGTGACAGTCGAGTCATTGTTCGTCTGCGTCAGATTGGCTCCCTAAAAATTACACTGAAATGTTTTTGTTTGGAACTAATAATAACTCTTGTGATTACCTAGCTAAGGTTTGCGGCAGAGAAAAGTTGTAGAAGTTTTTTTTTAATTGCACAAAACCCACTCAGTAGTTCATTGTGATGTAATCTGAACAGACTAAACAGCTGTTGTTAGAAGAAAACTGGAAGGATATTGCAGTAGTAACGGATGTAGCGAGGAACCTTCAGATTTATCTTAATTTATTGAATAAATCTTGTTTTTTCTGACACTCAGGGACGGCTTGTCCTAATATACAGCTGTAAGGTAGGCTGTCATTGTAAAATAAGGATGAGTAGAAAAGAGTGAAACATCTTCAGCCAGTTATTTCTTCATTCAGTCATTTTGCAGAGTTTATGGAAGTTAAAACGTTTCATTTAAAGCTGTAATAGTTGAGCCTTTCTGCTCAGGCTGCTGCCCCCGTGACCTGACTCCAGAGCAAGCAGCAGATGATAATTGGAGCGGTGGACGCGTTCAGCTTTGTTGTGTAGTACTTGATGTACTGATGCATGTTGTAGAGATTAGTATGTTCTGCGCCGCCCCAGTTAGCTTCAGCTTGAGGCCCAGGTGAGTCTGCCTCTGTGTGGAGCAAAGAGGACAGACTTGTTGTCCTCTTAAAGCTTTGACATCACACTTTGTAAAACTCTTCTGGATGTTTTAAAAGTCTTCAAATCACCAGTTGGCAGTTAAAGTTGTTTATCTTGTTTAGCGAAGAATCAGCTGCTTTACGCTTCTATTGTTACAGTATCTGTTGTGTGTAGTGTGTGTTAATGTGTTGTGAGCTGCCATTGTTTCAAAGTTTTTGTCCCTAAACTGTCTTGAATGGGAAAAAAAGTCTGTTTCAAGACAAATTTTGAAGAGAAAGACATCTTTCTTGCAGATATTTTATTTCACATAAAAAATGTCTATTTTGTTACTTTTCTATCTCTACTCTTTTTTAAGTACAGTCAGAGATTATCACGTCTTGAAAGTTTGATCTGATGTTCTCCAAATGTAGAAGCTTGTTAAAAACCCTTTTCGAAACACCTCGGTTTTATCTTTGATGGCACGTTTTCTTTTAATAAACGGGTAAACGCAGTTGCCAAAACTAGTTTCTTCGTCTTTCTTTAGCGCCCTCGCTCAGGTCAAGTTGTTATTTTCACTTCCAGCTTTTGAGAAAGACGTTCAAGTCTTGCCTTTGGTGTCACTTGTGGTTTTTGTTTTGTCACGTGCAGCTTGTCTAACGTGCAACAGCACGATGGGCCAACTCAAACGCCCCTCTCGCTGGCTTCCTGTTTGTTTTAGAATCCAGTTCAAGATTTTATTGTTTGTTGTGAGGTCATTAAATGAGTTAGCACTTTCTTATCTGTCAGGTCGTTTAACTTGGCACTCTGCCAGAAGCTGACGGAGGTCAGGTGAGCAGATGCTCCTGGGGCAGATAAAAAAAAAACTGAGGGCATCAGGTTTTTACGGTAGCTGCTGCTTCACTGTAAAACAGCCTGCGCTTTCAGAACACAAACACTTGATCCACTCAAAACCTCTTTAAAATTATGTTTGCTCCTTGGCATTTAAACCAGATTGGGCTATGATGTCTTTTGTTTTCATTTCTCAACAGTTTTTCTCACCATTGATTGCAAACAATACAATTTTTCCAAAGTTTATTTTTATAGCCCTAGCCCCTTTAATCAACTCTTGTTCTTTTTAAATTTATCGTAAATAAATTGGGCTTGATCATATGAACAATTGTGCAGACAGCTGCATGAAGTCAATGTTTAGTTTTGTAGTAAGTTGCCAACTGGAGATAGATGTAATAATTGGCAGTAATGGTCAATCGTTCCACGCCTGTGCATATTTTATCATTTGCTAATCAGGAACAGAACCAGCTTACTGTGGCCCACAATTTAGATTTTTTTAAAGTGAGAACGCACTTTTATATTATTTTTATGCATACAGGTCTAAAGTAGGGGTCTGCAACCTGCGGCTCTGGGGCCACATGTGGCTCTTTGGTCTCTCTGCAGTGGCTCTTTGAAAATGTGACCAAACATAACAGAATAAATATATATTTTTTGTTTTTTATACCTACAACAGAAATCAATTTGTATGCAACTATGTGATCAATACTATTAATACAAAAGTTAAAACATGTTAGCTCATGCTAGCCTGGTGTTTACTTAATAATCCAACTTCTTTCTATGATCTTTCTCTCAAATCTATCAGAATTACCTTTTGAAGAATTTGAAAACGACATAATAATAATAAGTATTAGAAAAAATACCTGAATAGTTCAGTTGACCTAGTTTTTATGAAAATTGGTAAAAACTATGTAAAGTATTTTTCTTGTTTATATGAATAAAGTCTTTTCATTTGTCCTGATGTGCAAAAATAAGAAATAATAAAATTCACAATATATTTTTTATTTTTATAATGTCACTGGCCATAAAGGTTCCTGAAAAGGCCTCGAAAAGGCCCACAAACCACCAGTTCATAATCACAGCTGAGCTTTATTTGCAGCTCTGAACACATTTTATTAGTGAGCCAAGTAGCAGAAATGGCTCTTTTGATCATAAAGGTTGCAGACCCCTGGTCTAAAGTTTGTTAAATACACGTTTACGGTAAGTTAAACAGTTGTTATATTTAGGTGAATGAAAGCTACATATTGACCAAAAAACAACAACAAACATAGGGTTCAATAAAATACATTTTAGTCTATCTCCATTTTGTCAAATTCCTGAGCAGAATGTCGACCAAAACAACAAATGAATCACTGTTTTCTTTTGGCGTCTGCAAAATTCTGCTTTATTTTTGTTGAATAGATGTCTTCCTCATTAGATTTCCGTTTGTACGTGATAGTTTGACAGACATAAAAAGCTGCCAGGAGGGAGCAGTTGTCAGATGATTAACCCAGAGGGTTTTTACTCCTCTGTTTTCACGTCTGGCCTTACTCATCATCACTATCACAGTTAGACTCGTGTCTAGATCTGCAGAAGAGTCGACACCGGATCACAGGGAGAAGCTGCTCGTAATCTACAAATACAATCAATCTCGATTTGAAATCCTTTCTTTTTCTCGTCTCCACAGATATTATCTCACTGAATCACTCTCGCCCACAGACACATGCTTACGTCTCGAGCTCTCAGCAGCAGCTCTCACGCTCTTTAAAAGCACCTGGAATGTGCCACTCGGAGCTGCCGCAGCCCGGGCTGGTCCTGCACCATTCAGCTGATAATCCCCTCATTTTTTTTAATGTTTTTTATTTCTTTTACCGAACGGTGCCAGGATTTGAGCGCTAGAGTCACCCATAAGAATCACTCACCAGCCTGTCATGCCTTCTCAGAGGGAGGAATGCAGCCAGCTGAGTCATAATTACCATTTCTGTATTGATTTTTATTGTTCACCCTCTCATATTCCTGATGATCTTACCACCTTTTTTCCACTCTAGATGAGGGGTTGTGAAATAGGACAGCAGGTGGACGCCGCAGTGATTTCACTTAAAGGAAGTTTATATAACAGATTCCAGCTTGTGAGAAATGTCAAGGCCTGCTGCGTCAACAGAACAGCTTACAGACTGAGGCCGTTCCTCCAGAGCTAACACAAACGCCATCTTTTTTAATTTTTATCATGTACCATTCATCTCTCGTCGTCGTCCTCAGGCCTCCCCGTCCCGGAAGCTCCATGGAGAAGATGAAGAGGTTCAAGCGGCGGCTCACTCAGACGCTCCGAGGCAGCCACACGATCGACGAGTCGCTGTCTGAGCTGGCTGAGCAGATGACCATTGAGGAGAACGGCCTGAAGGACAGCGGTGAGCTGTATTAACCTTAATGCCAAGTTCTGTCCTAATCTCATTTTGGTTGTTTACTAATACTTGAGCCGCTAACAACCAGGAGAGCTACCACGTAGAAGTAACTCGAGGTTACTTTTAGTTTATCTGAGTTCATGAATCCAGGTCAAACACACTGACAACATCTCAAGGATAACTCTAAAGTCTGCTGGATTTAAGATTCAAACACCACTAGATGTTTTGCAGAGCTGCCAAGCATTTACTTCATTAACTACACAAAAGTGCAGTTTATTGCCAGAAGTTTAATTCATACAGTAAATCTTTTTTTCATGATATCTGAAACAAACTAAATGAAATAAAACTGTTTAGGTTTCCATCAACTGCAATAAACAAGACACAGGCCAAAGCTTTTAACCAAGTTGACTGATAAACAATTTGGTTTATTACTAAACCATTTTGTTTATTTGAGCCTAATCATTGAACTGAACTAGAATGTCTCAATGATTGATGGACCTTATTGGATAAGTTTTAGCTAATAAAAAAACACTATCAGTTTTCTGTGTTGGATATGGGTGGGCTGCTACTTTTCCTATTGCCGCTTAAGGAACGGGGATTTTTGTGAAGAGCTGGACCAATAAACTTAATGTAACTCTGCCAAATATAAATTTTATATATGAATTTGATTTTTATTAGCTGCTGGGAATAGACATTGTAATTGAGCATAAAAATCTGAAATAGAACTGTGAAACTTTCTATATTTATCTAAATAATGAAAACATAAAATATGCATGTGCAATGTGTGCATCAAATTAACTACATAAAATAAATTTTTGTTGTAATTATTTATATCTAGTGAGAATATTTTAGTTTTGTTTGAATGTTTGCACTGAAGTCATGTTGTACACCTGAGGTAGATGTAAGGAGAGCTGCAGGTGACGCAGTGATGGGTTGTGTATCTGATATGAATGTCTTCTTGTGTGTGTAAAGTTCTCCTTCCTCCTATTAACGTTAACACAACAGAGTCATCCAAACTCTTTGATAAACTCCCCATCAAAAAACAACTTTTGTGAGAAATAAAACTAGTTTTGACTTCTTCATTCTTGGATGTGTAAATCTTGATAAGATATCCGTGTTTCTTTGTACAGTTTGAGCAGTGATATCTCTGTGTTTGATGCTGCTGTTTTAATCTTAACAGCAATATTTATTTATTTTACAAACTAAGAGCCCTGCTTTATGACTGGTTTCAGTAAACCAACATTTAGATGCCATACCTTGTTAAAAGCTATAAACTGTATCAAGTTTAGTTATTTTTATTGTGTCCTGACTCAGTAAATCTCTCAAACTCCACTAGTTGAAAGACTGAACTGCTGACGCACAAACAGTAGATCTAAACATCCACTCACCTTCAAAATAAAAGCACTGATTATTTTGGTCCCTGATGTAATCAGATTTTTTATATGATTAGTCTTGCCAGTACTGATCCGATACCTATATTTTCAAAGCCTTAAAAAAATGCAGCCAGTATCAACAGTTTTTTCCCCAGCGACACTTTCCAGCTCGTCCTGGGGGACACCGAGACGTTCCCAGGCCAGAGGGGATACACAATCCCTCTAGCAAGATGTGGGTTTTCTCCAAAGTGGCAGACATATTTTGAAAACATTTTAAAATGCTTATTTCAAACCCGCATCTGAGACCACCTGCGACCGCGCATGGGGTGGGGGGGTGGTGGTACCGTGCGCAACGGTGTGGCTTCTGAATAAATGAAAATGATTTAACACAGTTGTTTATACTTTTAGCAGCTCTTTTTTATTCCACAGCTGACCTGCTAAAAATGACAGATTTTCTTTTCTGGATCTCTGACAGACGGACTTCAATCTCTGAACTCGTAAAGTTCTTCTTCTTTATAATTTTCTGTCATTTCTGTCATTCTGTCAATTTCTGTCATTTCTGATGAATGAATGGACACTTCCTTGTAGCTGAAGCAGGAAACATAGCCTTATATGGTGTATTTGG